GCACACTTACAGTCACACACATACAGTCACGCACACTTACAGTCACACACATACAGTCACACAGGTAAACAAAGGAACAGGCAGATACACACAGGGGAATTTTATCTGATGCAGTAGAGCATTGCTGTTTTACACCCACAGTCTTTTCTGGCAAGGAACCAGCCTCCCATGTGTGGTCTCCATGTTTCCTGCGAGACTGAAACTCACAAGCTACGGCACAGTACACTGAACACCATTCAATGCTCTCTAACAGCCCCATCTTGCACTTATTCAAAAAAAAAAAAAAAAAAACACCCAGCCACTTTTCTCACACCCTGTCGCCCGGGAGACAGTGACCATGACGACGAGGTGGCAAGCCCGACATCCTTCTCTGGAAACTGTGGCTCCCAGTCGACATGCAGACTCCCAGGAAAGGACTGGAAGATGTCACCCAGGGGCCCGGATAAGCTGAGGAGGCAGGCCCTGAAGGAGGCAGGGTGGGTTCTACCAAGTCACCAGTCTGGCTGGGGGGGGTCCACTCTTTCTTGAATGTGACAAACTGCAAAGTTCATGTCATTGTGATTGTGTGTTCAGTCACATGTAATATTCTTAAAATAATGAGTCTTTATTTCATTACCAGAGATTCCTCGCAGTCCAGGCGAAAGGAATCTCAGGTGGGCCCTTAACGTCACACATACTGTCTGACTCAAAATGTATGTCGCTTTGGATAAACGCATCGGCTAAATAAGTAATATTGCAATGTTTTTAACCGTAAAATGATGAAATTTAGGTTTCTCCAGTCTTACAGAAGCTGGTTAGAGATACTTAGCTTTTGGGTAGGTGCTGGGTCATTGTGTGTGTGTGTGTGTGTGCCCGCTTGGATGACAGATAAAGCCTTTCCTAGCATGTAGACAGTGTTAGCCCGTCCTCTCTATGCAGGTGAGCATGGACTTGTTGCAGGAAGTGCTGCGCAGCCAGCAGAGGGAGATCGCAGAGCTGCGGCAGGGCCAGCTGGAGCTGCAGCAGCTGTTGATGGGCTCTGCAGACGGGCTGCAGAGTTCCATCCTCCGGCACATAGAGATAGTAACGGTGACCCGGCAGGAGCAGGACCGTATCCTTCCAGCTCCTGCAGCTGCACTGAGGGCTGCCGAGATGCACTCAATCTGAGAGCCCTGCTAACAGATTCATCATTCAAGAATCTATTGTCATTTGCAGTCTGCTTCACTATGCAATGGAAATTCTACTCTGCTTGTGATTCTGGTACCCAGGAAACACAAATTAAACACAAAACATAAACCACAAATACAAATGAAGGTGTTTACAGTGAGACAGTTAATATGATTAGAATTATAATGGTGGTCCAGCGCTGTTGGTGTTTGGGTCCCTAATAAATATGTAAACACAGTGCAATGTAAACATGATGCAAATATTGCAAAGGAGTGGATAAGTAATAGTAGGAGGTAGATACTCTGTCCTATATGCCAGGTTTTAGTGCAACAAAAGGAAGAACGGAAGAATGGGTGAGAGTGTTCAGCTGACAGGGGCTAAGTGTTGAGTTTGGTCAGGCATATAGGGCCATATATTGAGAGTGTTCAGCTAACAGGGGCTAAGTGTTGAGTTGGGTCAGGCATAGGGTCTTGTATTGAGAGTGTTCAGCTAACAGGGGCTAAGTGTTGAGTTTGGTCAGGCATATAGGGCCATATATTGAGAGTGTTTAGCTATCAGGGGCTACAGTGTTGAGTTAGGTCAGCCATGTAGGTCCTCATCATGAGAGTGTTGGGTTAATGACCCTGAGCCGCTGGGTGTTCAGAGCTGAGGATGGAGCTCGTCCTGGCAGCAGAGCAGCAGGAAGCCCGGCTGGTGCAGGACCACCTGTCCGAGCAGCTGGTTCAGGCCCTCGGCAGCACGCTGTCCGGCCGGCTGGAGCGGCTGCTCCGCGAGGAGATGAGGAGGACCCTCCCCCACAGTGAGTATACTTCCGGTTCCCCCATGAAGACCGCTCTTGTAGGGGTTAAGCACACGGCCTTGTGACTCCATCCACTGGGCTTCCTGCTCAAATACCCTCGAGTGAGGTACTTCAGATTAAATGTGACCAAAATGTAAAACGTTACATGTAAAGTGTTACATCTAAAGTGATTGTCGACAGGGTAGCTGGGTTCAGATGGCATGGTGCCACATTTTGCTGTACGGTTTGTGTGCGTACAGAGTTGCTGTCACTTTGGGCCGGTTTGATAGAGAGCTCCGAACCTCTGTACATATTGGTGTATTCAATCTGCCTTGATTGTCTCGGTTGACAGCGCAACGATTTCCGTTATGGTTGAAGCCCAGTTTGAAGACGTAAAATATTATTCCCGCTGGAGGTGGCCGTGCTTCTGGAGAATAAGATCTCACCCGAGGCACTATGCCGGCAGTTAGTGCTGGGTTCTGGGCTTGGATGCTGTATGAAGGCTCTGCTTAATACGATGATTTAAGTTAATCTGATATTTAGCTGCCGTAGAGATGGCTGTAGGCTGTCCATTGAAGGTCTTCTCAGCTTTCCGAGTGAGGGCCTTTTGGGCCCTAACCACAGTGTTGCTGAGACTGCGTTTGCTACACGACCACCCAAAATGTAGATTAAAGAACTTTTTAAGGATGTTCTTCTGTAAAAACCTTCATTCATCTGTGTCCTACTCAGCTTGGCTAGAAGATGGCTTGTAAACTGTGTCTGTAATTGTAATTGGGGACAATGTGTAGGGTTTAGAGCACTGTTCCTGTGATGGGAAGGTTGTTGGTTCAAATCCCAGAGTTGACAGTGAGATTTCACCATTGGGCCCTTGACCCTGAGTTATTCCAGGGACAGGCTAACCCTGCATTCTTAATTCTATGCCGCTTTGAATAAAACTGTCAGGCAGATCAATAAATAATAATGATCCTAAATAAAGCAGAGGTGTCCTGTCTGTTGTGAATGATTACAGTTTTAGGTTTCCCAGTGGCAGAATGTGAGAGCCTAGATAACCACGGCTCCTGGGGGAGTTTCAGTGAGATTGTCCTTGGGGGGGGGGTGTGCCCCCACCTGCCCTGGAAAAGCAAGTAGCCTGCAGGGGGAGTAGATCAGAGCTTTGGGTGGGTGTTTGTCGTGACTTTCAGTTTTCCCTGCTTTGCCTCTTTCACAGTGGGAGGTGTTTTATAGGATTTTACACAAGCTACAAGGTTAACTTGTCCCAGCACATCCACTCTCCACAAAGAGGTGTAGTTGAGATTCGTAGGACGTCGCTGGCCATTTCGCGGTGTCATTTGAATGGACGAGCAGGGACAGAACTACCAGACAATTAGCCAGATGCCGTTCACCATGTCACTCCCTCGAGCCACACGCTAAATTGCCTTTCTTTCCACGATCGTAGCCGTTCAATCGCAGTAATGAGAACTATTTAGTAAGCCTGGAACTGAAACCAGCTGGAAGAAAAGCCGTTTAGAAATGTAGAAATGGCTTGATATGTCCAGCAGTGGCTCAGCCGAAAGCCGAAAAGTTAGCTTGGATAATCGTTAATCCGCTAACTCAAACGTTTTACTTGATAACACTAATCTGATAACTGCTAAAAAAAATTGTGGAAGCTAACGATAACCGCTAATCACTAACTTTTGTTATATGAATTTAGCTTCGATTTGGTTTTGGGGTCTGAAGCAAGCAAGAAATCCAGCTCTGTGATACAGATCCTAATTCTCCGCTTAGTTCAGAGTGCCCCAGGTTAAATGGACTTTATTTTTGTTCACTTACATTTAGCTCAGACTACGTAAAATTAAAGTTATCGACTAATTACGTCTTGTGTTTATATGTAGTCAACCAGCAGAGTGCAAGATAGACTGTTGCAAACACGCTCACAACAGTCCAGAACAAATATGTATGAATCTTGGATTTGAACGTTTCTGACAGTTTTACTTTACCTCCGAAAAAATGTTAGCGGATCTACAGTTAGTGGAAGTAAATTTACAGGAAGCTAATTGGTCCGCTAAGAGTTTGCAAAGTTAGGGTACATGCTCATCCGCTCGCGAAAAACTTAGCTTTGCTAATTAGCAGTTAGCAGATTAGCGGAATCCTGCCCACCACTGGGTACGTTAAAGTGGTGTCTCTGTTCACAGCCATCTCCAGTAGCCTGGAGCCCCTCTCTGCTCAGCTGAGCACTGCTGTGAGCTCCAAGCTGACTTCCGTGGAGGGGACTCTCAAGGAGAATGTGGTCAGGGTTACCAAGTCAAAGGTCAGTGTCTCACCCAGAAATACAAGCAGCATTGTTAAGGTCTTGGGTCTTGAGCTCCAAGGATCATTATGGAACAAGTCTGTGCCATTTTTCAGCTTGTGGGAGTTTTACTTCCACAGAAATGTTCTGAGGGCAGACCGAAAGATGATTGGTTCAGAGAGATAACCAATCAGATTGTACAGGAGGTGGGTTCAAGAAAGATGAGGAGGCGGGACCAAGACATTTGGTTATCTCTCTGAATCTGTCATTTTTGTGTAAGTAAAATTCCCATGAGCCATTTAAAATGCCGGTGACATTTTCCTGCATGTCTGTCTGAGGGCTGCCAAAGCACTTTACAAAAACATGACAGTTAAATAGTCATGTAGTGGGAGCGCTGTTAAAGCGTTACACTTCTGTGCTTGAGCGTCTGGGTCCTTGCTCTCTATCTCTGGAGCCTGAATGCTTCACCCTGGTCCCTTCCTCAGTCCAAAGACACACAGTTAGGCTAATTGCCAAAGTGTATCAGTGGGAATGTGTGTGAGTATGTGCTGGTACGTGCCCTGCGATGGACTGGCATCCTGTCCCGGCTGTACCAAGAGCCTTGTGCCCTGCGATGGACCAAGGGCCTTGTGCCCTGCGATGGACTGGCATCCTGTCCCGGCTGTACCCCAGCCTTGTGCCCCGTGCTGCCAGGCATAGGTTCCCATCATTGTTTACAGCCCCCCCCCGGCAGTTATATAGGGCCAGTGGACTCTGCTTTGTATCAATAATGGAATTTGGCTCTCAGTGAAAAATAGTTGGGGACCCTTGGTTACGGGTCAATTTGTAGTTTCTGGACCTGAAATGCCCAACATTGTTTGTAATACCAGTACTGTCAGTGATGCAGTGTGTATGTGAAGCTCATTTTGGTACCATGCAGTGGCTCTCACCCCGAGATGTTCTGGTCCTTCAGAACACGACGGAGGCCATCGGCAGGGCCGCGGCCGAGGTCCTCCAGGGCCCCATCCAGGCGTCCTACAGGGACACCTTCGACAGCGTGGTGCTGCCCCTCTTTGAGAAGGGCTGCCAATCCATGTTCCTGCAGATCAACGACAGCTTCAGGCAGGGCACGCAGGAGTGTAAGAGCCCCGGCGTGCCTCTGTGCACACTCACACGTTTCACGTTTAGGCGTAGCGGCTGGCCTGAGATCCGGGACGTGCGTCTCCCATCCAGACATCCAGCAGCTGGAGAGTCAGGCGAGGAGCCGGAGGCAGCGGGAGCGGGAGCGGGACGCGAGGGACCCCCTGCTGGTGCACCTGCAGCACGTCATCGGCGCCTTTCACGGCTGCAGCAGCCGGCTGGGCTCCGCCACGCTAGCCGGCGTGCGTGCCGAGATCCAGCACCAGCTGCACACGCTGGTGGGAAAGTAGGTACCTCTCGCTGGCTTCTCATTGGCCAGTAGAGAGTCCAGGCACGTTCTGGGGGTGGCTGGGCAGCTGGCCGTTTGTCCCGAACTTTTAAAAGTGCCTCCCTCTTTTTTCACAAATGCATATTACAGTGAATATAATCACATGTGTTATTGGAGTTTTGCGGCTTTAGGTACGAGGATGTAAACTGTAAATTATAGGGGCGGTGGGGGGGTTGTAATCGGTCCCCCCCCCCCCCATCCTGCTGTGGTCTCATCCAGCCTGCAGGACTCCATCCTGGTGCAGGTGCAGCGGGCCGTGAAGGGTGAGGTCAGTCAGGCCGTGAAGGAGCAGCAGGCGGTCGTCACCTGCAGCATCATGCAGGCCATGCGTTCGGCCGCCGGCTCCCCCGCACCCCCCGCGCCCCCCGCCCAAGTCGACTACCAGGCCCAGCAGGCCAGCGTGCTGCTGCTGCTGCAGCAGGGCTTCATCAACCAGGCCTTCCAGCAGGTGGGCCGGCTCACGGCACCACATCTCCCTCTCTGTCTCGCTCTGCCTCGCTGGCTCCCCCTACAGGCCCAACTCTCATTCTGCCCGCGCAGGCCCTGTCAGCGGCCGACCTGGACCTGGTCCTCTATGTGTGCGAGACGGTCGACTCCCAGCTTGTGTTTGGACGCCCCCCCTGTCCGCTCATCCAGCCCGTGCTGCTATCCCTCATCCAGCAGCTCTCCACCAACCTGGCCACCCGTTCCGAACTCAAGATCAGGTACAGGGGGAATGGGAGGACAGGGGGGGCGTGTCCTCACACACACAGATAAGCATGTGGCCCCCATCCATGTGTATGCGGCACTCAGTAGCTGATGCTAGCTGATCTAACCACTGGAGTTCAGTAACTTTGTGCTAACAATGAAAAGGTTGTGGGTTCAAATCCCAGGGAGCACATGAATTCACTTTGGAAACAGTCACTGTGGACAACAGCGTCTGATGAATAAAATATAAATGTGTGTTCGTCCGGCCTAGCCCAGAACCGCGGCCCAAATCAGCCACAGTTCAGTCACTGTACTAAGATGATTCGAGGTGATCTTACATTCAGCCATTGGCCTCTTTTGATGACTACAGCCCAGCTTGAGTCTGATATTTACAGCACGTTTAACCACCATTAATATCGCCATTGCTCTGATATTGTATTACAACACACCCATGTTTACTGCCTTGGGGTGACTCTGTTGTGATAGATGAAAATGAATCGAAACTGGATTTAAATATGGAATTATCAACCTTGTGGTTCCTAAGTGGTGTTTGTTAAAGTGTTTGTTCCTCTGCAGGCAGAGGAAGATTTTCCTCTAAACAAACGGTGAGCGTTGAGGATGGCCTGCATTGAATAGTGCTGCCATAGATTGATTGTTTTCATTATTTAAACCAGGTCAGCGGTATTAATCTGGTTGGTTACTCATCTCCTGACTTGCACCGTAACCTAGACGACTTCAAGGTATACACATTAACCTGAGATATGTTAAGCTGGTAAAGTGGAGAAGCTGCTTCCAGGAGAGGTTGCCAGATCTTCTGAACTATCAGTCTACACTCTGGAAAGTGTTTTAGGAGCTTCTTGTGTTCACCAAAATCCTTTCCTGAAGTTTCTTCAGTTCTTCTGTTCTGGTGTTCCTCCTGATGTCCTGTTTTGCCCACAGTTACCTGGAAGAGGCGCTGTTGAACCTGGACCACAGCGACCCCGTGACTCGTGACCACATGAGCTCGGTGCTGACGCAGGTCCGGCAAAAGCTGTTCCAGTTTCTCCAGCTGGAGCTGCACAGTCCCCTTGGGATGAGAGCCCGCCGGCTGCTGCTGATGCTGCAGGGCCTGCTCCTCCACTAGGCCTCCCCCGGCCCCTCCACCATGGTCTGCGGGCACCCCCACCCCGAATCTGACGGCTGAATCCATCATCTGTAGAGATCCCATACAAGTTCTGCTTCTAGTGTACAGGTTCCCTGGATTATTTAACTCAGACGGGGCTGAACATTTTTCCTATAAAAAGCCATCGGTTGGGTTTCGAAGAAGGACAAAAGAAACCCCACTTTACGTTCTCCATTTTATTTGAAAAATAACAAGGAAACAGGATCACAGGAGAGAGCAGATGATAATCTGAATGTCGTATGCTGTACATTGATGCTGACTGTTCATTCCTCATTTTTTTTCCCCAATTGAATGAAACGATTCCCTTCTCCCTGCTCTCCTTCCTCTGCGTTCTTCGTTTTGTCTAGAGAGCAGCCTGAAACTGAAAGAGCAGTCATAGCAGACGCTTTCGGTTTTTACTGCAGGCTGAAACGCCCCCTTCCCTGACCTCCCTGCTCCTCAGTCCCGAGGTTGAAACTGATGCCCGTCTCTCTGCACGTTTGAGTTGAGCGAAGTGCTCATCAGCCCTGGACAGGGCTTTCCCTCGGCTCGCCGCTTTAGATATAGTTTTTTTTATATACACTCACCTAAAGGATTATTAGGAACAGCTGTTCAATTTCTCATTAATGCAATTATGTAATCAACCAATCACATGGCAGTTGCTTCAATGCATTTAGGGGTGTGGTCCTGGTCAAGACAATCTCCTGAACTCCAAACTGAATGTCAGAATGGG